GTGGCCAAAAGCACTCTCACTCCAGCCCGAACAAACTTATCCAGAGCACAAGTATTTTTTCTATCACAGCCATCTTGCACTTAGAAATAGTGGACAGCATTTCAGCTTTGTGCTTGGCAGGCATTTTAAATGACAAAATCACCAACCCAAAGCACAAAAAGTTTTTTAAAAGTGACACTAAATAAAACCACACTTATTTACAGTATAAGAACTGGAACAAGATGTGGAGTGTCATCTTGTTCAGTCTCAGCTAGGAACACGCACAGCAGGTGACTCAAATTTTGCATTACTCTGTATATGTCCTTGAGTGACCACAAAGTACTATGAGTATTAATTTGGAGATTACAAATAAATTTTAGCAAGTAGATGAATGTATATGTATAAAACATATGCATATATGTTATACACACACACACACATACATACACATGCACACACATGTTCCTTGCAGTGGGTTTTTATGCCAACCTCACATCCATTCTCATTGCTTACAGTTCCAACACCCGGAATTTCCCTTTGAAGAACCACCCTCCCACATTCTCAGGTCACATTCTTCTGATGGAAGTGACTCCACTCCTAGGAGGATGGACATGTGACCAGGCCTGACCAATTAGAGGGTTGCCCCTTCCATCAGATGATTGATTCGAGGATGAGCTGGAATCCAAGCAGAGCCAATGATATTTCATTCTAGTTTTTCCATATAACTGTTCAGAGGAGAAAGAATTCTATTTCCTCTGGGAATTCTAAAAGCCCACTAGGAGGAGCTTTAGAATTAAAGGCAAGACAGAGAAAAGCAGACCTAAGAGCTGGTCCTAGATCCAGCAACTCCTGAAAAATCCGCTTTTCAGTTACTTGACCCAATAAGTCTTCCCAACTCATTTTAATCTGTTTGTCTTTGTTGTGGGTTTCCCTGAAGATCTAGTCTCCCATTAGGAAATTTAGGGCTGTCAGAGACTCCATCCTCACTCATACACACCTTTCAGGTGTCAGCAACACTACCAACCAGGGACTTGGGAGTTGACCCAAGAAGCATCCCCCCGACACCCTCCCAGCCCCCTCCCATCATACTAATGCTGACGAGCTGAATGTTGGTGTGGTCTGAGCCAAGGGGGTTGGTGGCTGTGCACGTGAAGAGGGCGTAATCCTGGGCTGCAGACACATTGGCAATGGTCAGGAGACTGCTGTGGACCCCACCCTGGTGATAGGTGTGCTCCGTGTACCTGGAAAGACAGTGAGGCAGGGATTCAGGGGCTGGGACCAGAGTTTGGGCTGGACCACTTGCTGGCAGGCCTGGCTCACCTGGGATCTTGGAGATCCAAAGGAACCCCATTTTTGGACCAAGTGAAGATGATGTTGGGGACGCCTCGGGCACGGCAGTGGAGGGTAGCAGAACTGGTGCTGTCTCCAGCTGCAGCCACTTTAGTTAGGGGGGTAGGATGTTCCACCTGGGGGGCAACTAGGATGGATTGGGGGATCAACATGAGGTGTGTGGGAGGACACGAGAGCGGTGAGTTTAGTGGCAGACTTTTGAAGTCAAGAGTTTAATGTTACCCACATCTGACTACAAGACGGACCAGCCCCCGGGCTGGAGGTGCCACTCCATTGTCCACAATGCACTGGTAAGCACCAGCCTGTGTCAGCTTGGCATGGTGAATCCGCAGGCGTCCTGTGGATCCTTTTGATATCTTCTCCATGTCATCTAGGCTATGGTCCTCCTCTTCTTCTTCTCCCTGGGGACCCAGGACTCAGAGGTTGCCCTCCAGTTTAGCCCCAAATCCATCATCACCCAAACTGTGTCCCATCTGTAATATCATTCTCCCACTCA